CAGCAGAGGGTTGAAGAGAATTTGAATTAGCACCAGAGCTTTAAGATCTCTCCAGCTGTCACCTGGAGACTGGCAACAGCTTGTCTGGAGTGTGGGCAGTATGGCATTGTATCTGTCTGAGGTCCCCCCTCTTCCTCCTCCTCCTCAGACCCCACCCTCAGCAGGCTTCATCCCTAAAATATCCTGGAAGTTGGCAACTATCAGCCAATCTTTATCTGCCTGTCTGTCTTTAGTTTTACAAAAAAAACCCCAGCCTCTGCCTAGGGAAAGGGCAGCTGACATCATTCTCCTCTTCCCTATGAGGTATGTGTTATGCAACTGAAAATCCCAACTGCCTTGCGGGGGGGTGAGTTTGAGGTGTGGAATGGAGTGTAGTCCAATCAGCTTCCATATGCAAATAACCTTGGAACGCTGGGCGGGACTGCACAAAGCAGCCAGTCAACCCAGCCAGTCTCTTCTGAGTGGCAGTTTTTCCGGCCTAACACTAAAGGGGCCAAATTTAGAATGTTCATATAGAATGTTCTTACTCAATTATATATAAGGAGAGACTAGTGTCACCAAGTACTGTTTCTGAGTGATTATCCAGAAAAAATTTTATTTATTTATTTATTTATTTATATTTAAATTTATACCCCGCCCTACCCCGATACAGAACTCAGATCTGTGGAAACATTTCCATGAAGTACATGGCTATTTGGGTCTGGTTCCTATCTTTGCAGCCAGATCCAATTTACTCAGGAAAAAAAATCTCCAATTTTAATTGGCTTGATTGCAGTTTTAAACTGAGCCGAGACCAGAAGACCTGGATCAAGCTCTGCAGTCCATGGCTGGGTGGCTCAGACTGAGTTGGCTGAAGCTGAATCCAGCGAACACAGAGGTCCTGTGCCTGAGTTGGGGCGGTTCGGGGGTGGGAATCCCACTCCTGACCTTTGGGGGGGCTTCATTGGTCTCAGTGTCGGAGGTTCAGAGTTTGGGAGTGCTCCTGGATCCCTCCCTTACCCTAGAGGCCCAGGTAGCGGCCACTGCCAAGTCAGCCTTTTATCATCTTAGGCTGATCAGGCAGTTGGTTCCCTTCCTCGACCGTGCTGACCTGGCTACAGTGATCCCCGCAATGGTCACCTCAAGACTAGACTACTGTAACACTCTCTACATGGGGCTGCCTTTATCGCGGATTCGGAAGCTGCAGCTAGTGCAGAGCAGCCAGGCTGTTGATGGGTCTCTAGATAAGAGCACATTCAGCCTGTGCTAAGGACACTGCACTGGCTGCCAATAGCATACCAAATCCGCTTCAAGGTCCTGGTTCTTACCTTTAAAGCCTTATATGGCTGGGGTCCAACATACCTACGGGACCGCCTTTCCCTGTACATACCCCAGAGAGCACTACGGTCTGGGTCTCAAATTGCTTGACCCTCCTAGCCCGAGGGAGGCCAGGCTAGCTGCTACTAGGGCCGGGGCCTTTTCGGTGGCGGCCCCTACCTGGTGGAACAAGCTCCCAGAGGAAATCAGGGCCCTGCAGGACCTCTCACAGTTCCGCAGGGCCTGCAAGACGAAGCTCTTCTGCCAGGAATACAATTAGGGGCCACCGCCGTGCACGGCCTGCAATGTCATCATTAAGCAGCTGCCATAGAGTTGACGAGCAGAATAGCATCTAAGCACTTCTATGCTGGAAGTTGGAAATCCATTTGAAAGCATTCCATCTGACTGAATTTTTAACTGCTGCTAGCACTTTGTAATGTATCACTTTGTAATGTATTATTTTAACTGTGATGTTTTAATTACATATTATGTATTTTTTTATTTTGTATTTGTGTTATTGAAAGCCGCCCTGAGCCTGCTTTGCGGGGAGGGCGGGGTATAAATTTGACAATAAATAAATAAATCGCTGGAAGTCATTAAATCAGATCTGGACTCATTACGATCACGAATATCTTGTACTGTTGCAACCATGCAACCACAGTTGTTCAAAACTAGACCAACACTTTCAGTCTTTTACCTGCAGCCCACTGGACAGGTAGACATTCCCAACCCAATCTGAGCCTCATTGTACACAAATTCACCCCCACATGTACAAGACCAATAGACACAGAATGCTAAGCTAGGGTTAAACAAAGGCACCAGCCTAGCACTCCTGCCATGCAATTTGGCATATGTTATTTGGAAGTAAGTCCCACTCCTTTCAGCAGGACTTACTTCATGCTAAAGCTGAGATTCTGTGCAAACTTGCCTGAAATTAAACCACCTAGAACACAGAATGCTTTACTCTGGGGTATAAATGCATAAAATTGGACTGAAATTGTTCTTAATGGTGCAGCTTAATGGTTATAGAAGGGGTGCCCCTTTATTTCAGAAAGTTTTTCTCCTGTATCCCATATTTCTGCACATTTCCACGGAACTCAGAAGCCAAGACCTAATACCTTCCATTTTCACTTCAGAAAGTTTGATTTGGAAGCCCCATTAACCATCTCCACTCCAAGGGTGTAAAAAACAAGCTCGACTGATGTCCATTCTTTCCAGAAGGTAACCGATGGCCTTTATTTCAAGACATTCCACTGTTTTCACTGCAGTCAGCAGAACAGACGACACCGCCTATCACACACTCTTGAAAAACTGACAGCACGGGTCAGAAACTCGCTCCCTCAGGACCCAACAATCAAACGCATGCTCAGAGGCACTCTCTGCTGGGGAGCGTGGTGACCAACTGATAAATTATTGGCGCTATATGTTTTACGTATTTATTCTTGGTTTTTAACTTTTAATTACCAACTGTTGTAAGCCGCCCTTAGCCTTGCTTGCAAGGAAGGACGGCCTAAAAATCTAAATAAATAAATAAAATAAATAACTCCCAGCTCCTACAAGGCGCTCAGAGGAGGCAAGAAGCTCAATCTCCGCCGCCAGCGCCTCCTCACCTTTTTACGGCTGGTGAGCAGCGGCGCCCCCTGGAGGCAACAGGTGGATCCTGCGGCGCTCCTCCTGTGACCGCTTCGCACATAAGTCACTTGCCGTCTGCTGACCGCTGTCTCGTTCACCTTCTCGGCTCGGCGATTGTTGCGCTTATCTTCCGTTACGGCGTCCGCTCCTCCGACGACCTTGGCGCCGGCCGAGTCCCAGGAGCGCCTGAGTAGCAGCTGCAGGCACAGGAGGAGCGTGGCCGAGAGCAGGCAGAGGCGGAAAGCCAAGCCCTTGCCCAGCCGCCTCTCCTTAGCCGTGCAGGAGCAGCCGCGGGAGCAGGGGACAGCGAGGCTCATCCTCACAGCTGCCTTGGGAGCCGAGAGCCCCGGGGCAGGCGGTGGGCGGCTCCCCGGGCTGCCGCCGCCTCCGGACACGTGTCTCGCCGAAGGACACATGCCGGGACAGGCGCTGAGGGAGGCCCCGGAGTCAGGCTGGAGCGGAGCTCGCTGACAAACTTGGAGAAGTGTTCGGCGGGAGAGGAGGCCCGCCCCTCTCCGCCTCCGGCTGCGAAGGAGAGAAGCTTCCGACCTGCCACCTCTCGGCCATCAGGCTGGGGGGGTGTCTCCCCCGGCTCCTCACGCGCCTCCCCCGGATATTTCCGAGTGGGGAGGCTGGGGCACTTGCATCGAAGAAACAGACACGGGCAGGGCTGGTCCCAGCTTATTTTGCACCCTAGGCGAGGATCCCTTCTGGCGCCCCCCACCACCACCACCAATTTTCAAAAATAAATGCGCTTTAGGAAGAATGATTCCCTACATGACCATTTGTTCAGGATGGGTAGTAGCTTTTGTAACATGCATTCATTCATTCTTGAGCTAGGTTTGTGAAATGATTTCTTGGTCAAATAACACATGATGTTTCCTGTTCACCACTTACAACCCAGCCATTATTCATTCTTAATAGGCTTAACATAGTGGGGAACCCCCACACACACACACTCTTCTTGTTGAATACAGAAACAAACACAGAAGCATAACATTGTGTTGATGATGAGACCCATTGCATATTTTGCTATTAGCCTTCCATTTTCAAGGCGTACAGTACCTGTTATTTTTATGCTGTGCTTGTGATTTATAGTTTGTTTGGAAACCACTGTAAAACCACTGAAAAGGACAACCCTATTTATTATTATTTATAGTTAAAGTTGCAGTCTCAGGCACACTTCCTTGGGAGCAAGAGCCACTGAAATCAACAGGAGTGACTTCTGAGTACATATGCATAAAGCTGCATGGCATATTTCACTAGTGGGACTTATTATCCCTAAATAAATATGCAGGGGACTGCAACTTATCTCAGACATAACCAGGATCACCCCCCCTTTTTTTTAAATGGGTGAAGGATCTGCAAATGGCATCACTCTCTCTTTCATTAGGTGTTTCCTATATTGGCTTTCCTCCACTGAAACCTATTGCTTGACCCAAAAAGCACTCCACTGAGCCCATAATGCATTATTATTGCCCAAATATTGCATCCCCCCGCAACTAAAGAACTTACCAGCTGGAAGAGTGGGGCCATTCGCTGTGCTCCCCGACACGTGATCGACCCGGGCGGAGGGAACCAGAGGAGCCGGCTGTGTCCTGCTGGAAGGAGGGGAAAACAGGGGGGGAGGTTTCGCTGGGGGGGTCTTCTGGCTCTGGAGAGCCAGTTTGGTGTAGTGGTTAAATGTGCGGACTCTAATCTGGGAGAATCAGGTTTGATTCCCCACTCCTCCACTTGCACCTGCTGATGTAACCTTGGGTCAGTCACAAGCTCTGGCACAGCTGTTTCTGAAAGAGCAGTTTGTGTCAGAGTTCTCTCAGCCCCACTAAACCAACAGCCTATCTAAGGCCAGGTATACTATAAACAGTACAGACAGGGGATTACAAGGTATAAGACAATGCAGTAAAGGCAGGTGATTCCTACAGCAATCATTGCTGTGGTCCTCAATCCTATTCCATTATAAAGGCACCCTCCTGTACTGGTCCATTCCCTTTATTTATTTATTTATTTATTTATTACTTTAGACTTACTATACCGCCCTAACCCCCGAAGGGGTCTCTGGGCGGTTCACATATTGTCGTTCTAAGAACTGATTTTTCCTATCTTGGGCCACATCTCAAGTTGGGGGTGGGACTACCTACCGGCACCCTCGGTGGTATATGTTTCTTCTGCTCCCTTTTTGGCTCGGCGTCTATTCATTCTTTTTTCCTCTTATTGGCGGCTAGATCGACACAGTTCTTTTCTCGGCTGCTGGGCCGGTGCGGCGTCCCTCTCCAGGCCCCCGACACTTATTACGGCAACCATAGCAGCACCGCGCAAGCGCACGGCTTCATATATGCCTTCGGCCGGCTCCGTCCAATAGGCACCGCCGTGCCTGCGTCATCCGTCGTGTGCCTCAGGTCTCCGCCATTGCTGCCGCCGCTGTCGCTCGATGTTCCCTCTGGCCACCAGGGATCGCTCTGCTCTGCTCTGCCAGCACTTGCCGCCGCCGCTGAAGTTACACCGTCGTCCGTTGCCATCTGCACCGCCACGCCATCCATATTACCACCATGCCTCCTTATCAGAGGTGGGTGCCCCCTACCCTTCTAAGGGTAGGTACCCATTCGCCTACTTGCATTAGGTGTTAATTAGCTTTCGGCCCACTGGAGAGGTGGATTATTGGACTGTCTGCAGATGTGCCTCTCCTGCTCTGCTTCCCCCCACCCTTGTGGAAAGGCCTGGCAGCCGGAGGAGCCTTGGAAGGTGTCCCCCCCGCACTGCAGGGAGAGCCCCAGAGGCGGCCGCTGCCACAACCCTCGCCAAGCGAGGGGCGCGACGGGAGCCCCAGGAAGCCAGATGGCAAGCCGCGCCGAGCACGCCTTCTCTGCCGGGGAGGGTGGGGGGAGCACCTGAGCCTGCTGGCTTGCGCGCCTCGCAGGGAGGGGGCGCTTCCCCCAGCCCCGCCGGCATGTGCACTGCCGCCGTCAAACAAGCAGCAGCTTTGGGTGGGGGGGTTGGCGGTGGCGGCGGCAGGGCAGTTGGCGCCCTGCTAGTATCCCCACCCTAGGCGATATACTAGCAGGTCTAGTGATAGGGCCGACCCTGGACACGGGGCCAGGAGGTTGGCCTAAACTGCAAGCCCGGTACCAGGAAATTGTAATAAAGTTTGAGTCTCTCTGTGTCGTTTCAGAGACTAGAAATAGCTGGGGGTCCAATCACAAATCTGGCAAAATGAGCTATGGCTTACCAACGCTTGTGCCACTCTTAACAGTCTTCTGTTGGGGGGGGGGTTGTTTTGGTTTTTAAAGCAAGGCCTCCCTCAGGAGCCTTTTAAAATTTATGAAAAGGATTAAGAATGTATACCCCAGTCCTGGTATTTTATTTTATTTTTTTTAAAACCCCCGGAGGGGATTTTTTAATGATTTCTATCCACTACAAAAACTACAACAGAAAAGAAGGGAAGGGGAAAACTACATATACAGGAGAAAGTAAAGAACCCACTACTAACTAAAAACCCAAGAGAGGAGATCCTCCAACTAGCTTAGATACATCAAGTCTTCTCATCGTTGATTCCTTTATAAACTGAGTCAAACCTTTATAGCCCTTTTCCCTTAGAGTTTAAATTTAACTGTCTAGTAACAGTACCCCCAATCATCCCAAAACCAGAGTTCTCAAAGGCACAATTCAGAGTCCTTCAGCCTTACTTCTTCTTTTTCCCTTCTCTTCCGCAACTTATAAGGACTTTTTGGAGCTGCTGCCCCTTGCTCAGACAGAGAGTCCTCTCCGGAAGAACCAGTTTCCAGCTCGCCACTGGACTTGCTGTCCTTTTCTCGTCCTCTGACCTTCCCAGCTGATCCCTTAGGAATTCTTGAGCTTTCAGAACAGAGTTAATCTTTTCTTTTTTATCTTTGATCTTAAAAGTTAGGCCTTCTGGAAATAGCCATTTATATCCAATTGAGTTTGTTTGAAGAAAAAGTACAAGTTCTTTGTATTTCTTTCTGTGTTGTCTTACTTCAAATGGAATATCCTTTAGTGTTCTGATGGTGTTCTCCCCTGCTTTCAGGGGTGTTACAGCAACCGCTTTCAGGATAGCATCCCTGACGTGCCTCTTCGAGAATCTTACTACAATTTCCCCAGGCAGAGTTCTGTGTTGAAGCAGTTAGAAGGACAGCTGCGGTTGTTCAGTGAGAAAGAGAATGAGAGCTGAAAGCTGAATGTATAGGAACAAGTAAAGTAAAGTTTAAGTGAAGAAACGTTAAAGGAAGGTCTGAGTGTCATAACCAACTGGAGTGAAACAGTGAACATATATGGCATTAAGATAAATAAAGGTTACAAAGTTACATGAAAAGATCCCTGTCAGTGAGGGAAAAGATTGAATGTGATACCAAAGCAATTGTTCATCATTTACACATTACTAGTTACATTGTATCACCCTCTTATTTAGTATTTATTTCAATAAATCCTCTTTTATTCAAGTTCATACCAGCTCTGAATGAAATACTTCCAAGGACCACATAGTCCCTCGTAAGTCTTAAACTCGGTCTACCAAACTAGTAAGAGCCAAAGTAAAAGCATAAAGGTTTGGAAATTCTTAAAATTTCCTGGTGGCAGCAAAATCTACCCAGTAAAGAAAAATAAAGTGAACTTTTAAAGTGAAACTAGTCCTCCCCAATAAGGAGGATGTCACACACATCCATATCGTTGAGCAGCGATTCCGCTTTTATTTCTGTTACTGGGGCTAGTAGCTCACTCATCAGTTCTTTAAGATTCTCCCCTCTGTTCTCTGGCACACCCTGGAAGCGCAGGACCATGTTGGGCTTACCCATTTGGACTTGCAGCATTTGATCTTCCAAGGAAGTTTGTTTCTTTTCCAACTTTTGCACTTTCTTCTTCACTTTCTGCGTAGTTGCAGCCACTTCCTTTACCTTCTCAGCATCTTGCTTCATTATTTGTATTAAGTCGTTTATTTGCGTTTGTTGTGCAGTAATACCTTGCGTAACCACGGACATCTGTTCTTTGAAGTTATTCAGCTGTTCCAGTAGAGGGCGCATGTAGTCAGCTACAGCCTTTGCTGTCTCACTGGTAGTTTCCGGTTTTGGACTCTCCGGTTTCGTTTTCAAAAGTCTTTCTTTGTCCCTCTTCCCCGCCATCTTTGTTGTTTATTTTCGCAAACTTTTTAAAAGTCTCTGAATGTGCGCTTGACCGCTTAGACTCGCTTGGGTAAGTACTTCTAGGCAGTTTTCTTCGCGTTTTCTTCCGCTCCCCCCCTCAATCGCTCAAAAGTTCATGCGCATGGGAGGCGTCCCTCCCTTGCTCGCTTTTTCTCCTGTTCAGTGGG